CATCACCACCCTATCAGGGCTGGGGTCTGATCCCAAGTTGCTGGATCATAAGCCTTGTGGGCTGAGCCCAAGCCAGCTCTGGTCTCTTTAAGTGTGTGTGTTTTTTTCCCCTCTCTCTGCACTGGGACCTTTTTGCAGAGGTGGGGAGGAGTGCTGAAGCAACCTGGGCCTCTGTGGGCTCCTGGCTTGTATCCGCTCCAATGCGCTGCCTGTGCAGACGCCCTCAGCTCTTCCCCTCACTCCGCTCAGACGCAGCCTTGAGTGCAAGTTTCCTTTGTCCCTCATAGCTGATCACTTCCCCGTCCTTTGCCACCCCTGCCTTATTGTGTAGCCGCACTGCAGGGCAGGGCAGGCCTGTGTGGACTCTTGGCATAGATTGAGGCATGAACTTTAATAAATTTTAGATGTTTGAAATCATAGCCAGCATCTTTTCCTACCACAGTGGTATAAAACTGTAAATCAATTATAATAGGAATTCTGGAAAATCACGTGAAGACTAACCACCTTGCTCTTGAACAACCAATCGATAAAGAAGAAAGGAAAAAAGAATCAAAAATTATCTTGAGTCAAATGAAAATGAAAATATAATGCGATTAAACATCTACATTAAGAAGAAAATCAAATACATATTTAAATTTATACCTCTAAGAACTAGGAAAAGACCAAATGAAGCCCCAAGTTAGTAGAAGTAAAGAAATAAAGATCAGAGTGGAAAGAAATGATATAGACACTAAACACATAATAGCCTTTTTAAAATTGATTAATCGTTAGCTAATCTAAGAAAAAAAGAGATGACTATAAAAAATAAAGTCAGAAATGAAACAATACAACTGGTAACACAATAATATCGCAGATAAAAAGAAACTGCAGTGAACAATTATGCACCAAAAATTGGAAAACCTAGAAGAAGTGAATACATTCTTTTAAAAGTTGAATACTAGAACCATCCAACCCACCAAGACTGAATTATGACAATACAGAAAATCTGAACATACCTATGACTAGTAAGGAGGTTGAATCAATAATCAAAAAACTCTCTGTGAGCCACTATGTATAAAAATAAAATTTTTTTAAAAGTTTCTTTTGTGTAGCACAGGGAACTATGTGCAATATCTTGTAATAACATTTAATGGAAACAATGAAAGCAAATAAATGTATGTATGTGCACGACTAGGATATTGTGCTGTATACCAGAGAAAGACACATTGTAATTGACTATACTTCAATTAAAAAAAAATAAACCAAGAAACAAAATACTTCTCAATACAGAAAATCCCCCATATGCTTTTATTGGAGAAATCTACTAAACTTCTAAAGAAGAAATAATACCAATCCTTCTAAAACACTCCAGAAAAATTGAAGAGTAGAAAACACTTCCAAACTCATTTAATGACGGTATCATTCCCCTGATCCCCAAATCTGGCAAGGACACTATAAGAAAAGAAAATTACAGGGCAAAATTCCTGATGAACATAGATGCAAAATTTCTCAATAGAGTATTAGCAAACCATATTGAATAGTACATTAAAAGGACCATACACCACGATGAAGAGGGATGTATTCCAGGGATGCGAGATGGTTCAACAGCCACAGAATCAGTCAACATGATACACCACATTAACAAAATGAAAGGTAAAGATTATATGACCACCTCAAAAGATGCAGAAAAAACACTGACAAAA